AAGGCGTACGATAGGTACCCTCAAAGTGATTATTCATGCCGCATCTGTAACAAGTGCTTTCGCCCTTTCTTTTTACCACTCGACCATCATCGTTTTCTCTTCCATGTCCACGACCTCGACCACGGCCGTTTGCGTTCACGTTCAAGCTTTTTAGTATGACTGGATGATACATTCACTTTAGGGAATTGCGGAGATCCAGTTGGACGGAGCTTATGGTTTAACATCACAAGCTGGTTAGTTTTTTCAGCTACAAGGAGGATTTGCATCAACTTCGAGTACAATGTGAATTCTCTTGTCGGGTATTGTTGCTACAGTATTACATTTCTAGGATGAAAAGTTGAGAGGTTTTTTCAAACATATGAAATTCATGGATATCCTCTCCACACATCATCATTACTTAGCAGAATTATATTCAACCCTATGTTCAACCACTCGTACCTTGCTTTCAGTAAGATCATATATTTTTGATTATCAAACCGACTTTTAAGCGAGTTCCATAGATCCGCAGTATCTTCTTTTATGATGTATTCATGTTTTAAACCATCATGTATATGGTGGCGTAAAAAGATCATGGCTTTCGCATTTTGCTCATCTTTTCAGAGTTATCGATGGTGCGCAATAGACCATTTCCTTTAGGTGCAACTTTGCACCTACCATCCAAGACAAATAGTAGTTATTTCCACTAATGTTAAGGGCCGCGAGATGTTAAAGATAGAAACTTAAATAACACGAATTTAAATGGCTGAAATTAAAAGCATAATTTAACAACGTAATTTAAATCTGGGAGTAGACATAGTCATTAACTCCACTACATGGAGGAGGTTTTTCACCTTTAACTCTGAAGGAGGATTTCCATACCACTATATATATATATATATATATATATATATATATATGATCTGAGGAAACATAGTCTACCATGTAATCATTTGCTCCGAGTAGGCAAAGCCTAGCATCCCGACTTAAAGAAATTTATTTGATCGAGAAGGCGGAGCCTACCATCACCATCAGCTTCGAGTAGGTATAGTCTAGCATCCCGGCAGAACAAACAAATAATAAAATTTTAAATTTTAAAATAAATTGGATATAATTTAATCTCATCTTTTCGGAATAAAGACAGATCTGGACAAATCTAGAGGCATAGAGGCGATGGTGTTGATAACGTGACATAAACTAATAATAAACAAGATGAGATTTTATTCCTAACGAGAGAGAGAGAGAGAGAGAGAGAGAGAGATAGATTTATTGCTTTTTTCTTATGTTCTCAAATACATATAGTGAGTTCCTATTTATAGCAAAGTGAAAACATTAAACTATTGTAATAAGTTGGTTAGACTTAGACATTAAGAAAAAATATAATAAAATGTCTTGTGTATAATAATTATACTTTCAACAGTTCCAAATATTGACACATGATTTCTCAGGACGCTTTTGAATATAACGATATGAGGTATGGTGAAGTTGAATTTTGGAAACAAGAAAATGGCTAAGAAGAGGTATTACCTAAAGTTACCAAATCAGAAAGATAACATCAATCGGGATACAAAACTCGCTACAATCGAGATAATGAAGGGTATACAACAAATTATTGAACGAGAGCAAAGAACAATATATTTGAAGATATATATACAGTAGAACTCGAGAAATGTAATATGTTTGTTTTAAAAAACTAGTTTTTTAATAAATCTTAATAGAACAAATATTTTAAAATATAAAGAATAGGTTTATAATTCTTAATTTCACGGATATTTTATAATAAAATAAAAAGTAAATAACATATAAGTATTATAATATACTAAGATTTGATTGGAACAAAGTAAAAATATAGTTTACTTTTTAAAAGTTAAAATTATATATATGACACAAAAGACTTGAAAAAAAAAATTAAAATCTAATTTTGAGGTGTAGAGGCTATTTTCTGTTTTTTCAAACTGAAATTAGTAATAATGATTTATTAACATAAAATAACTATTTTCAAATGATACTATGATAAAAGGGATATATTTAGTTTATTCTCTTCAGATATCCTTCACGACTCTCAATTTTAATTATTATCAGTATAAATAATGTCGAAATGAAAACAAAATTAAGTTAAGTATAAAAGAAAAAATATATCAAACTTTGGCGTTGGAGTATCTAACTTACGGTCGGGTATCACATGAACAAATTGGTCGAAAATCAAAACTTATTACCCAAAATTTATTTGTAAAGTAAAAGTAAGGTTTGGGTACGAACAAAATCATGTAATTATAATCCAAACAGTTATTTTCAAAATTTAAAATACAGTCAAATGGATGTAAAACTCAGTTGGGTATAAAAAACTATTACCAAAATTTATCCGTAAAATAAATGTTAGATATTAGCGGGTAAGGTTTGGGTACGGACAAGATCATTTAGCTGTAATCCAAACGGTTATTTTCATAATTAAAAATACAATAAGGTTTGGGAACGGACAAGATCATGTAGCTGTAATCCAAACAGTTATTTTCATAATTAAAAATACAATTAGATTGATGTAAATGTCGGTTGGGTATTAAAAATATTACCCAATTTATTGGGAAAAAGAAAGATTATAAGGTAAACCATACATCAACCTGTATTCTAAGATATTTGATTAACTTCATTTTAACTTATTTCATATGAATTTTACTACAATTTTTAAATACTCCCTCCGTTTCATAATAAGTGTCGTTTTGACAAAATGAATATGGACTATTTATTGATGTATCGGGATGTGTTTTGAGTCTTAATACATCCATATACATCTAGATACATTGGGTAAGTCAAGAGTTAAAACGACACTTATTATGAAACGAAGGGAGTATCTAAAGACAATAGTATAGAAGAATTTTTGCGGTAGAGCGCGGGTGACATTCCTAGTTATTTTAAAAACAATGTGTATATGATCTATTTTTAGCTTCTTGATTTTTTGGGAACACTTTATTGTCATGTGAGAGTTCGTGACTCTTCTATTACTGGTGGTGGTTGAGAAGGATTCGAGACCCTCAACTCTTCGTGTAGTCCTAAGTGACGATGTTGGTTTTGTTTACTGTGAATATTACAATGTTAGCAATGGAAGTAACCTCTTCTTCATGAGAAGCTCTAATTAAATATTGTCTAACTCGCTTTGATAATCTTCCTCAAAATCTCTGTCTAGTCCTCTCTAGTCCAACCGCCCCTTCCACAAAGTATATGAAATGTAAACAATGATCAAAGTCAGGTTAGACATGAACCAATAACAACTAAAACCAGGGAGGAAAAAAGTTTTACCGATTTTTGCTGCTATAGATGCTGAATTAAAAAACACCCTCTTCTAAATTCATCCATCTATAGAGATCAGGAGCAAATAATCGTCTTTTGCTCTTCTTTTCCTAACCATCCCATGAATAAGTGTTCCAAATATGCCATTGTTTATAATGAGTTTTCTTGATACCAGAGACTGGCTAACACTGGTAATCCTACTTATCCTTGAGAAAGAGACAACCTTCCCTCACCCAAATCATATTCCTCAATCGGACAATATTATACGTAATAGTGCTTGGTGAGAAGCCTTTGCTCTGCTCGTGTCCAACAATGAAACCGCTTTATTAAGTATTTTCTTCTCACACAAACCATACATCAGAATTGGGTTAAAGCTCACCGAGAGGTACCATTGCCGGGTTGGCCTGGCAACTCAAAAAAATATGTGTCTTTATTTTCTGCAGTAACAACTGAAAACATACTAACACAAGTCTGAGTGTTATCACAATAATAATTATGTTTGTAATATCTCCTTTATCATTTAGGAGGAGAAGAATAACATAGTTCATAATGTGTTCGACTAACACAAGTCTGAGTATTATCACTGAATCACAAACTGTGTTTATTCTTGTATTATCACACACAAACTAACCCAAGATAAACTTCTCTAAATCCATTAAAGAATAATTTTTCTACGAAAATTAAGAAGCCACAGCTATAGCAAGTGAGTGTGATAGGTCGCTTCTCTTCAAACATGATTCATATTTGTTTGTAGGTTAGTTTTATCTTCTCCTGAATATGGAGAAACAAATATTAATGGGATAATTCGAAACAAAATGTTTTGGTCCACCTGTTAGAAATAACCTCACACATGCCAATAAAGCTGATATTGTGATAGACGAATAAACTTGCCGGCCATAAATCCTAAAGTGTTTTAGTTTGACGACTGGAGTTCTCTATTGGTGTTTTTGATCTTTCTTTTTTAGTTTCATGTAGAAAAGGTGTTTCCCAATAAATTTTGTAGGAGGAAGGAATTCAAGTTATAGAATGAGGGAATTCAATAAGACATGGAAGTTATACAAAAAAATTAAGAGGAAAGGAAATCGCAGAGAAGGAAACGCATAAGATTTCTTTTTTTAGAATGTTAAAAATGTAAAATGCCATGTGTCCCCTTTCAGATGGTAGATTCACTCTAGTTTTTCTCTAATAGAGGGAGAGGAGAGGATAAAATAAAATAAATCATAAGAAAGTTTTTTTTTTTAATTTTGATACGAGAAAAGCAGAGGCGTAGGTTCTCAAATCACCAAGAGCCTCACGAAATCTTGCTCCATCCTCATCGTCGGCGATCGATGGTGCCTCCTTTCTAGCTCCGGCCGACGACGAATTTTCTGTTTTCTGTTTTTCGAATTTGACGTTGATCCCATATTCTCACCGAGGATTGCTTCGTCTCCAAACGATTATCGGAATCAGAGGCATGGTTCTGTTAGCATTGGGATTTTGATATTTTGCGCAAGGAATGGAGTTATAAAATTGTTAAGAATCTCTGGAGTACATTTTCGGAGTTGAGAGTATTGAGAATTTTGAAAAGAAGAAAAAAATCAATTTTTGATGGAGGCTTATTCAGAGCATGTTGGTTTAGATAGGAATGATTGGGAGTCTTTTTGATGCAAAGAAACAATGAGACTCGAGTGATGTTAAATGATTTGGTTGAGAATGATGAATCGAAAGGGAATTAGTTCATTTCCGGTTCAACAGCTTGAATGGCTGATTCCCTGAGAATTAGTCTCGCTGAGAGAGACGTCGAGCAGGTAAAAGCTTTTTTAATGAAATGTTTGGAAAAACTTTAGGATCATTGAATACTCTTGTTCACATGAATACGAAATTGAAGAAGTTTGATATACTTAGTTTTCGCTTTATAAGTCAGTGAAATGATGTTTGATTCATTTCCTGAATTTTGCCACAGGCTATTACGTCGCTTAAGAAAGGGTCTTACTTGCTGAAATACGGACGCAGAGGGAAGCCTAAGTTTTGTCCATTCCAGCTCACAAGTGTAAGTTTTCTTGAAATAAAGATAGAGAGAGAGGAGTCCTTTTATGTATACTTCTTGTTTGCTCATTTATGTTTCATGTGATGTGATGCAATATCTTAGGACGAGTCTACATTAGTATGGTACTCTGGAAAAGAAGAGAAGCAGATTAAGATTAGTCAAGTCCAGAGAATTGTTCCAGGACAGCGCACGGTGAGTTCAATTTCTCTCTGCATCATTTTTCATATATGTTCTTCACAAACCAAGAACAGTTTCCGTCTGTTTTCATTTCAACTATAAATTATGTTCTCTTGGGATCATTATTACATATATATGGTCCTCTTGATTTAATGGCTAAATTTTGGTTTTAGGCTACATTTAAGAGATACCCAAGACCAGAGAAAGAGTATCAGTCATTTTCGCTCATATGTCCTGACAGGTCCTTGGATTTGGTGAGTTTTTTTAACTTTCCTGATATTTAAAGATTGAGTATTTATTCATCTTTGACCTTGATGATGATGCTGTTTTGGGGCAGATATGTAAAGACAAGGATGAAGCAGAGGTTTGGGTTGTTGGTTTAAAAGCACTTATTACTCGTGTCAAAGTCTCTAAATGGAAAACCACTATTAAACCTGAGATCACTTCAGTGGAATGTCCAACACCTCGTGCACGAAGAGCCTCTCCATTCCTGACAATTCTTGTAAGTAAACACTAACATAACACCTTTCATTTAGATTCTTTACGTATCTGATCAGAACCATCTATAGGATCAAGTTACTCAACCCTCTACTGAGAACTCTACACAAACTCGGTTGGGAAAAGTCTTTGCTGACATTGTCTCACTAACCGCACAAGCAAGTAGTAACAGTCAGACAGAAACCAACAACGCCAACAATTTCTGTCCGTTTTCTCCGGTCGATCATTCAAACTCACGGTTCTCCAGCAGTGACCCCGTTCGGATCAGTCTATCTAGCGCCGTGAGCAAGTCTAGCCATGGCTCATATCACGAAGACTTTGATGCTTTAGGTGATGTTTTCATCTGGGGTGAAGCTATTAGTGATGGTTTTCTGAGCAATACTCATTCCACGACAACAGAAGATGCAGTTTTACCAAAACCATTAGAATCAACAATAGTTCTTGATGCACAAGAAATTGCGTGCGGTGGTTGTCACGCGGTTTTAATTACAAAGAAGGGAGAGATCTTTAGCTGGGGTGAAGGAATAGGTGGGAAGCTAGGGCATGGCTTAGAGAAAGACACTCACCAACCAAAGTTCATTAAAAGCGTCAGAGGAATGGGTTTCAAATCTTTAGCCTGCGGAGAGTTTCATACATGCGCTGTGCCTCAGTCTGGTGATCTTTACAGTTGGGGTGATGGCACTCAAAACGTCGATTTGCTTGGCCATGGGAGTGAGTCTAGCTGCTGGATTCCAAAGAGAGTGACTGGTGTATTACATGGAATGTATGTGTCATATGTCTCTTGCGGTCCCTGGCATACAGCTGTGGTTGCATCTTCAGGCCAGTTGTTCACATTTGGAGATGGATCTTTTGGTGCTTTGGGTCATGGAGACAGGAGAAGCTCTAGTGTTCCACGGGAAGTTGAAGGCTTAAGTGGACTAAGAGTGATGAGAGTTGCTTGTGGCGTTTGGCATACAGCTGCGGTGGTGGAAGTGTCAAATGAAGTATCATCTGATGATGCAGAGCAATGCTCTTCGTCCGGACAACTGTTTACATGGGGAGATGGAGAGAAAGGCCAGCTTGGTCATGGGGACGACGATGTGAAGCTTCTTCCCGAGTGTGTAGTTTCGTTGATGAACGAAAATATCTGCCAAGTTGCTTGCGGATGTAGTCTCACAGTTTCTCTTACAATCAATGGACATGTGTATACAATGGGCAGCAAGGCTTACGGCCAGATTGGAAACCCTAACGCCAATGGAAAGTTTCCGTCGCGTGTCGAAGGAGACTTAGTAGACACTTGTGTAGAGGATATTGCGTGTGGCTCTTATCATGTTGTAGTGTTGACATCTAAATCAGAGGTTTACACATGGGGGAAAGGTTTAAATGGTCAGCTAGGACATGGAACCATTGAGAACAAAAGCGAACCTTTAGTGGTTGGGTTTCTTAAAGAAAAGAAAATCAAGACTGTAACATGTGGAACAAACTTCACTGCTGTGATATGCCTTCATAAATGGGTACCTGGCTCTGAACAATCTCTCTGCGCCGGTTGTCGAAACCCTTTCAACTTTAGAAGGAAACGCCATAACTGTTACAACTGTGGTTTGATATTTTGTAAAGTATGTAGTAGTAGGAAGTCTTTGAAAGCTGCTCTTGCTCCAGATATGATTAAACCTTATCGTGTGTGTTATGGATGTTTCACCAAGCTGAAAAAGGCGAGAGATACATCTCATTCTCCACCCACTCCACGAGCAAGAAACCTTTTGAATAGGCGGAACTCGACGGATGTTTCAGAGAGAAGCAAGTTTACTCACAAACTCCTCTTGGCGCACGCAAGAATCTCTTCCGCTGACTCTTTATTGCCCCACAAACGAGAGTCAAAACTGGAAGCAAGTAATAACCATAATATTGTCTTCCCTTTCGTGAACGGCAATTTACAGTCTGGTGGATCGCCATTATCAAGAGGATCAACAGCTTTTTCTAGAATTCATAAGAATATGATGGTTAATATCCCTGGTTCACGAATGAACTCTCGCACAGCGTTTCCGGTTTCAGTGAAGTCAACTAGTCCTAGTCGATCTTATGAAGTAACAGGTGAGGAATCTAAACACATACAAGACATGGCGGGTTTAAAGGGACAAGTAGAACAACTTACTTTCAAAACTAACCAGCTTGAAGAGGAACTTGAAAAAACTAGAAGGCAGTTGAAAGTAGTCACTGCATTGGCAGCAGATGAAGCAGAGGAAAACAGATCTGCAAAGGAGGTTATTAGATCTTTGAACACTCAGGTTTGAAATTTTACCATATGAGTCTCACTTCTTCTGTATGTTTTATTAAAATCTCTCCTAATGTTGATGTGCTTTTGTGCAGTTGAAGGAAATAGCTGAAAATGTACCTCCAAAGGATGACACTAGTACCAACTCAAAACAAACAAACAAAGAGAAATTAGAGAACCAAACACAAACTAATAACCAGACACACATAAGAAGCATGGTCTCTCATGATAGTCATCAACCAGATAACAGCTTAGCAAGTAGGAGTTTCATTAATGGGCATAGGAGATATCATCAGAAGGCAGAGAGGGTTGTGCAAGACGAACCAGGAGTGTATTTGACATTGTTGTCTTTACCTCGTGGTGGTAATGAACTCAAGCGTGTACGGTTCAGGTACTTCATCTTCTTTTAATGCTAATGTAATATTAACCTTTTTAAGCAACACAATATGACTGAAATGTTGTTGTTACTTGTGCAGCCGGAAACAGTTTACTGAAGAACAAGCAGAGAAGTGGTGGGGTGAAAATGGAGGTAAAGTATGTGAACGACACAACATTCTAGTTTCTTAGGATCTCCTCTGTTTTCAGTAGAGGATTGGAAGAAAAGGATGGAGACAAAGACAGAAAACAATAGCGCCATATAGAGTAAATAGAGAATTGCATGTATACAGATTTTTTTGTTGTTGTTTTGAAGGAAATACCACAATATTTTCTGCTATCAATAAAAAAAAAAGTTCAATGAAAATTGCATTATTTTATTTTCTCGGAAATTTGCATTTGAATGTTGGCTTGCATACATTTACATGTACGGCTTGACAAAAGAAAAATGCGGAGTCATTTGAAAGTTGGGTTGCATATAGAGACATGTATGAACGGAATTAGATACTGTAAACGTAAGTTAGCCACCGAGATATAGTTACGATGCATGTTTAAATACATGTTTGCATTTGTTCTATATAATGAAAATTTCATAGTTCAATTTTTGTTTTATAACTTGTTTAGATATAAGGATTAATACCCTTCAAAATCTGAATACTGTTTTATCCTAATGATATTTATGTTTGTTTGTACTTTTTTTTTTGTAATGTCATGACATTGCTGTAACATTTTTTCTAGGTTACTTACCAAAATGTAAGTACTTATCAACATAACATTGTACATATATTCTAAAGTATTAGGGTATAACGGGCCAGAAGATGAAAAGCATGTAGCTCCAAGAAAATTCTTTAGCTCAATCAACAAGTTTTGGCGTGAGTTAGCTAGAGATATAGAAAAGTGTGGTGGTGCTTACTGCTTAGAGACCGCATGTCGACTAGGTTTTCATCGTTCTTGTCCCTTGCAATTCTCTTTGATTCCTTTATAGCTTGATTACGAGTGACTCTCTTGTCCCACTCTTTCTTTTTTTCTCCGCTCGGCTAGACGGTTTCTCAAGATTTCTTAATTCTTTTGTGTTCTTTCTTCTTCATCGCTGCCTAAGCTCTAATTCTTCCTTCTTCTTGGTTGCCTTAAGCTCTAATTCCAGAGGGGTGATGGCTAAGGGCATTGGCCACACATACACCAAGTTACACATGATAATCTAAGGCACTTTGTGGGTCTCCACTCAAGCTATACATGTTGAGTTTCCTTTTATCTTCTACATCATTTAACCAAATGATACTAAATTCTTAAACTTTCAAAAAAAAAAAAAAACTATGTTTAGTAAGAAATCAAATCAAATGTGTTGGTTTTTAGCGCTTTGAAGTTAATTTGTAATCTAATTAAATATTTCTTCTATATTCATGCAAATCTACTAAAATATCTTGTGTTTCCGTATTGGATTTAAAATAGTTGGTGTACTGTTCTTTAATTATATACACAAAATATTTAAGAATAATTTATTTTTATTTTTTTTTGGAAACAATCATACTATTATTTGACATTATGCTTATTTTGTAACGTTATAATTTGATTGGCTGAGAGAATCAGCCTGACACGTCAAATTTGATATGGATACTGAAAAACTCGCATTAAAATTTGACTAGAACTAATATATCTGCACTGATGACATGGCATTCTCCGAAGAAAAAAAAATAAATTTCATTGTGCACATAAAACGAAAAATTTCTCTAAATTCAGTTATATATAAAAGAAAATCGTATTAAAAAAGGGGAAAAAAATCCGTTTCATTTTTAAAATAATATTAGCTTCTTAAAATTCAAATTTATATACAAATTAACTACTTTAAAATCACTAAATAACATAAATTAACATAATATATATAATTATTCATAATATATAATATATTTCTGAGTTTCGAGATTAGTCAATGATATTTCTGAGTTTAGAGTTGGTCATAATATTTTTGCTAATCAATTATGTTACAATGACTCTCGGAACCAAAAAATTTTTTTGTATGGGTCATAATATGAACTAGATCTTGACCCGTGCTGTATATGTTAGTTAGGCTAAAAACATTAGTGTGCTAATTAGGTGAATGTGATATTCAAATTATCATTAACTTAATATGATGCTAAGATAATTATTCAATTATATGATAATTATAAGATATTTATGTGCTTGTGTGTTTAATTTAGGGAGACACACTAAAACCTTGATTTTATGAGACATTACCGAAAAAATAATGATGTACCTGTTTGTTTAGACCGGTTCCGGACATTACAATTATGATCCGAATTCATTGTCTTTTTTTGGGTAACATTTACGAATAAATAAACGAAACAAAATACAATCATGAAAGGAACCGATTTCTTGAGGGAAATCATATACTTAATTTTCGAATGATGATGTGAAATCGACTTTATATGATCAAGTGGGATAACTTTGCGATGGAAAATCCTGTAAAAATGAAGAGTTATTGGTGTTTAAAGTTTAAAGAAATCGGCGTCGCGTATTCATCAAAAAAGATGAGAGTTTTTTATGTAAGCGATTTAGCATTTCCTTTACTTCAAATCACTTAGATTAGTATTTGATTATGAGGAAAAAGATTTAGCATTTCCTTTACTTTAAATCACTTAGATTAGTATTTGATTATGAAGAAAAAGATAAATGCTCTTCATAATTCTAATGAATTGACTATTTTATTTATTTACAAAATCACTACATTTTACTTCATTCTCATGTCTGTTTTCTTTTTGCTTTTTGTTTAAATTTTATAACTCACCGTAAATTTCATGTCTCTTTGTTTTGATTTTCCCATAACTTGAATTTCAAAGTCTAGAAAGCAGTCCCTACGAAATTGACTAAAGAAGTTCGTCACAATCGGGAAAAGATTCATTCCGATTAATACTCCAAGTAATATATCTATGTTGACAGTTCCAATCTCTTTTTATTCTTTATCCGTTGTTTTTCTGACTTTTCAAAAAGACCTAAACCTAATAGAATGATGATACTGACCTGTGATGTTGAATAATGTTGTTTAAAAACTTAGATCCTGACCCGTGTTGCCGTCATAATGGGTTTTTGCTTTTCTTTTTAAGAAAAAAAATAAGTATGTTAATTTTCAACCTTATTGGACATGCGTTTTTAATCATGATCCGTGCTGTAAATAGGAATTTCTATGTTATATAATTTTTTTTTCTATCCTTTATCTTTATTTTTATCATTATTGATTTTCTGAATGTAGTTACGATTTTGATTTTTTTGTCCACTTACGTAAAAAAAATATTCCTACTCATAGATTTATAAATTTCTCCACTTAAGAACCAAAAAATATGTTCTGACCCGTAGTCATAAAATATTCACCACTTCAAAAAGAAATACAGATTCTGACCATAGCTGTAAATTTCAAAATTCTTTGTATTTTATATATATTGATCATGTGAATTTTCTTTTTTTACTGGTCTATATAGCTGCAAAACTTCTAAGTAGGACTCTCAAATCTGTCTTCCTCTACTAATATTTGATTCCCAGACTAATCTCTCTCTCAACATTTTCTTTATTAAAAAAAAACTTCTAAGTAAGGTTTTCGGTGGCAGTCAACGATTCATCGATAATGTTGGAACTTTGAAATTTTATTATCTTATAGAGTTATTATTTTATCGATAAAACAATATTATTATTTTATCGATAAAACAATAATTATTATTTTATAGAAATATTCTATCAAAACAAGAAACTTTATAGAAATATATTTTTTCAGATTTTTTTTTTCAAATTTTCCTTATACTTTGTTATTTACATATTTCATGCTCAGAAGTTCAAAGTCTATAAGAAATTATGTCTACTGTTCTTAATGGTGAAGATGAAGTTGAAGATGATGAGGAAGGACATGTGCAAGTAGTTACACGTAAGGATGCAATTGTGGCTTCGAGAACTCTTCACAACTTTTGGCTGCATATTGAGAATACATCTCCAATTTTCAGAAAATACAAACTACATTGGAGTCATATTTTACTAAATTGTCTTAGATATATATGCATTAGTTTTATAATTATTGTCTTAGCTTATTGTTGGGACTATATTTTTACATAGGAGTTTCAAAAATATTATTGTCTTATCATCTTATCGCATTATGCTATTTTTTACACTGGCCCGAGTTGGGACCGGAGAAAAATATTATCTTATAGTGTTTATTGTTTTATCGAGTATTGTTTTATAGAGGTTGTACTGTATTTCTGGTAAGAATTGTAATCAGCGGACTTGGTCAAATACATAGCGAATATGATCTTCTTCTTTTTTTCTTAGTAAGATTAATAATCTCAGATAATATTGAAACTGGACTATTTTGATTCACATCTCGAAATTGTTATTTTCGTAGATTGAGGAAGTCGTCATTATCACTAATTAAAGTTAAGAGAAGGATAATAATCACTTTATATTATTTAGTTTGAAACAGGAATTTGAATCATGGTGTGGATCCTACCCGTTGGTACATAATTTTAAGAATAATGTTATATGAAAAATAAATTTGTCTTGCTTCTCATATGATTTCTTCATCGCATACCGCTCCACTCCTCACAAAGCTTACTCTTTTCACTGTCAGGTCAAAACAGTGATAGCTTAATATATAACGATTATATATAGGTCAAAACAGTATAAACATAAAAACAATAAAGATTTAGTAAAACTAAGTTTTAGATCACCAAAAAAAACACATGTTCGTTCAATTGAATGACTTATATATAGAGGGAGTGTGAATCTTCTTTTAAAAGCTGTTAGAAATATTCTATACCTTCTCACGAAATCTTTGGAGCTAATAAAGAAAATCGGATATAAATTTGAGGGGTGATTGGTTGTTGCTCTAGATTTACTTTCTTGTTGTAGAATTTTGGCTCCATGTTTTGTGGTTGTAGCTGTGAATTTGTTGATGTAGAATATTGGTTGTAGGAATTTAGTAAAAAGGGAAATAGAAAATAAGGAAAATAATACTAAGGAAAAAAAGTAAAGAGAAAAAAAAAATTGGAAAGAATGAAGGAGATAAAAGAAAGAAATTGAGAAATTTTAAGAAATACACCTCTTGAGGTGCAAATTTTCAAAACTACACATATAGTGTGGAAATTTTCAAAAATACATTTTTTCTAATTTTAATATATATGTTTGGTTCACTAATAATAGATTAGGGTTTAGATTTTGGGGTTTAGGATTTATATTTAAGGGTTCAATGTTAGATTTTTGGGTTTTGGGTTTAGATTTTAGGGTTTAGAGTTCTTTTACTCCATGAAAAAGTGTATTTTTGAAAATTAACACCATAGAGGTGTATTTTTGAAAATTGGCACATCAAGAGGTGTATATTTGAAATTTCCCCGAAAAAATTCAGACCTCTTAAAATTATGCTTTAGAAATTTTGCTTTGCAAAACTAAAAAAGGAAAAATAAAAGAGTGATGTGGGTTTAAAAAAATATATATATATTTGGCTCTAGAAATTTTGTTTTGCTATCTCCAGCTTCTTCTGCAGCAACAATCAATCACCCCAAAGAACTTGATAACATAATTTCTTTCAGAATACCCTACTTAATGAATGTCGTCTCATTTATGATCCTGATACATTTGTAAATCAGGATTCTTCCATAGTCGCACTTGTTAAATAACGTAATTAACCAAATTAATTTGTTAAGAATTACCAACGTAGGAAAGTTTACAGGTACCAAACCAAGTTAATTTTTAAGGTAAATCCATTTCTCAAAACCATGAAGAAAAAAAACCGGCTGATACATTACATAGACCATTTATGTTTCCAATTCCATTTTATATGTAATGTATCAACTCCTTTTTTTTGGTTTGGTTCTTTAATTTGTCCGAAAGACCACAAAATATATGATTCTAAGATTATAACTCAAAAGTAACTAAAATATTAAACATGAATATCAACTAATCTCACGTTGCTAATCTCCTAATCCTCGTCATTATCAACATGTGTTCGAAAGAGGTAGTCTTCTCCTTCAAGTTTATATATTGATACATGGATATTAATGGATCGTTGCATTTCTCGTTAGCCTCTTTCTCATCATTTTGTCTCTTTCCCATAGAACAGAAAAATGTAAAGCAAGCAAGGCAACATATACATTCAGAATCAAATCAAACTCATATCACCAATTCCAGCATCCACAAACAGTACATACTTCACACGAAATTGTTTACCAAAAAAGGAGCAACTCATGAGCTTTCTCTAGTTAAGATTCAAGAATTGAAATCAAACAACATCGACAAATAATTAACTTAAAAGGTTTTTAACATGGTCCTCTTTCTCAATGGCTATGACTTATAGAGATTTATAAGTTAAGAGAGATGTTTACTTAATCAACGGTACCAAATGTAGGAACGCAATTTCTTCAATGGGCGATTGATTAATATAAAGTATAAATATGTACAAAATAATATAACACAATATTAAAATGAATTAAAATAAACAAGAATTAAGGAAAATTTAATCGGATTTGCAGAGTCGAGATATGATCTCTTTCCTTAATTCTGTAAACGCTCCGTAGTGTGATGGTTGCATGGCGTTCCGAATCCCAGGATAAAACTGCATACTTCTTATAATTGCATCACTCAATACATAAGCTTTCGAACCATGTTTTATGTGATGTATTCTCATAAGAAAAACAAAACAAAAAGAAGAGAAGTGAAGGATTGTTGTTGCTTCTGTAAATGTGTGTCTGAATGAGAAGACAATGCTTCAATATATAGCCATGCACTCTTCAACGTTGGACCAACGTAAGTTTGTGCCATAATGGAGTCTTTAATGTCATCATATATCAATTTCTTATAGTGGAGAATCAAACTTCATCACTCCCCTATATTGACCAAGACATTTACAAGAAAATATTAATAGCTTTGACCAATCTATACTATTAAAGTAGAGGAACAACTTAAGAAAAGTGCACTAAACAAGCGCCTATCCCTGTAGCCAAACAGGATTTAACCCGAATTAACCTCTAAATCAGCTAATTAACCTGACCCGAAGCCTAAACTTAAACACGCGGATCATATGTAAAACATAATCCCACATTTCTCGAAATCTAATCGATTAAGGTAACTATTAACTACCCGATTTTCGAATATATGATTGTGTATTCAGAATTGGAATATGCTTAACTGCAAAACGTGATCATCCGCCTTTCCCGTAATTCATCAAATCTGCAATCAAGAGAGGAGAAAACAAACTTATTCTCCATGAACCTTTAATGAAATATTTCCACAATCTATGCAACAGAATATATTGTCATATATTCGAGTTTCCAAAATCTTCGGTGTTTAGACCGACTGAAACCCTAATGATCACATAACACCTATACTATAAATGCAAGAGAACCAAAGCAAGAAGTTCTCATTCCGAAAGCACCATCCACATTTCAAAACAGAATCTTTACCTCAGAAACAAAGCATAATGACTATTGGTCAGATGTTTACCAAGCTTGATGATCTCAAACCCTTCAAGTCGACCTGGAGAGTGCGTGTCAAAGTCCTACACAGCTGGAGACAATACGTTGGCCAGGCCGGTGAGACGATGGAGTTTGTCTTGGCTGATGAACATGTAAGTTATAATTCTGTAAAATAGCCGATAATCTTAATATCGTTAAGCACACTTGACACTATTTGGAATATTGTTTGCAGGGTGGAAAAATACATGCTGCAGCGAAGAAGAAGGACATAGGCAGGATCTCCAAGGATTTGAAAGTTGGCGAATGGAGAGTCCTTGACAATTTCCAGGTTGCTCATGCAACGGGTCAGTTCCGTCCTACAAACAGCAAATGGAAGATGACGATGACATTGAACACGAAAGTAAGCACCTGCTCGGTTAAAAACGACAGCCAGTTTCTTGAACTGATTCCTATTCGGACTATTATGGATGGTGGTCTGAACCACTGCATACTCATCGGTAATAGTCTCATTGTTTATATAAAGTTTAGTTTATTAACCTTTAGTTGAACCTTTTTTCTGTAATGTATGAACTGGTTTTGTTCATTCTCCACCAGATTTCATTGGTCAAGTACTCAACGTCCAGGAGATCCAAACTGTACCTGTCCAAGGGAAGGAAAACGTAAGCTCGAGTTTGTTCTGAGAGACACTGAGTAAGATTAATTTCAATTTTAATATATTTTGTGTTTGTTTGAATGAACAAATAGACTAATCACGAAGTATTGGATAATGCAGTGATGAACGTGTTAACGCGGATGCCTCTGGGAGTCTTATGCTGAGCAGTTATATGATGCATGCAAGGAAGCAAATGGCGAACCGGTGATATGCATGATCAGATTTGCAAAGATAAACTTCTATCTAGGCAAGCATACAAAAAAAAACCTAAACAGAACTTAATTGATTTTTCCGTATTGCTTAAAGTTAACTTCATATCAACATTATTACATTGCATAGGAGATTTGCAAGTTACCAATGCTTATGATACATCTCAACTCATTATCAATCCAGTATGTCCCGAGGCTGACCACTTTCGAGCAAGGTTAATCTATATTTTGTATTTTTAACCAGTTTGTATATTGTAATCTATTACAGTAATCTTATCTAATTATACTTACCAAAACTTGAAATGAATGTTGTAGTTTACCTTCTGATGGATTGGCAATTGCAATGAACCTGAAAGAGGACGATGCATTAGTGCAGCTTCAGAAACAGCAAAAGGCGGATGAGTGGTTGACGCTTGATCTTAAGTCCGTTTATGATGTCACGAGTTCTACCGAGGTAATGATTCTGTTTTGGAAATTCGTATAGATACAAAGAACAAAGGGTATATGACTATTAGAGTAGGATTTTGAGCTTACTGTTCATGTTTATTGTTGTAGATTGAGAAATTTAGAATCCGTGCAAAGGTCACTGCTATTGATACTGATTGGGGATGGTATTACTTTGGTTGCGTTAAATGTCAACATCGGGTTTTCAAAGACTTGAAAAAGGAGTCTTCCACCAGACCACGACCAGTAGTTCCTATTTGGTATTGTGATAACTGCAAGACAAATATCAAAGCGGTTTCACCAAAGTAAGTCTATAAACTCATCTGATAGAACAACTACTTATGTGTTACTTACGATTCTCATTTTTTATTTTTCTTAATAGATTCAAGCTACATTTAATCATTGAAGATGATTCTGGTGAGACTAAGATAATGCTCATGGATTCTGTTGCTAACGGGATGGTCAACAAGACAGCTGCATTCCTACTTAATGGTTCTACTGATGAGGTACTATCGAATCCAATTGTTAATATAATATCAGCATTATTACAAAATATACAAATGTTAAAACTTTACCTGTGTAGATTCAAGACCCGGAACTTCTTCCTGATTCCATAAAAGATTTGGTTGGGAACACTTTCGATTTCTTGGTGGGTGTAGAGAAGGAGCACATCATGTATGGAAATGACACCTACAAGGCTCACAAAGTAAAAAATGGTCATATCACGGGTCCATTCTGATTCAGCCAATGAGATCATTACTGTTGAGGATGATCTCTCTCAAATTCATTCTGACAATGAGGTATGCGAAGTTTATATTTGGATCATTTTGTGTTAGATACTCCATATAATCATAGTCCAGAGCTAACCTTATCTCTCATCATACCTTTTATTTCAGGCCTCTGTTGTGAAGAGCAATGGGATGACACCATCTCCTAAGCGCAGTATTGAAGACAGCAATATCAGAAGTGAGCTCTCTTCCACTTCAAAGAAACAGTGCACCAAGCTCATCAACCTAGAAGACGAAAGCAATGGTGTTGATGTGAAGACGTTGACCGAGTAGTGCATCCCAAACTGTCACAAGGAATAATGAGTCAACATTGTCATCTTTTGTTTTTTTTTGTTTCTAAAGACCTTTCTAGCTTTTATTTTTTTCAGTATTTGAGATATTATTTGGATTTTTTAATAAGTTGGTTACAATTATCGACTAGTTGGCTTTATATCGACTATCTTACATCTATATTATCTACTGAAGAGCCTAATATGGTTTATTCACAATCAATTATTTGAACTAAGACTTATCTACTTGAGATTTGAACATTGAGACTCTCTGATTCTAAAAGAGTGTTTATAAGGCCTACACAATTTGTGGCCCATTCAATCTAGAGTCTAATGAAAAAGGATTAGAAGAAATAATTGGGCCGTAGCTAAATACTTATCTTTTTGATTGAGAAATTGGTCAAGGTTTTGCTTGAGTAATAATCACCTACAAAGAAAATTGAAACTGGTCAGATAAGATTTTTCTGAAAAAGTGAATATATTCAGAGAATCCTCAGTATATTTACAGTACCATTAACTGCAGTCCGCCTCAATTTTACGGGACACTCAAATGAAATTGTCAGTTTAGATATTCATAGCGAATCAATTAAGTAGATCTCAATATATTGCGTGTACCATCAAGCTAACGCGTATTAATATACTTTATGAAGAATATATAAATAGGAACCCTTATCATCTAAACTTCAAAACCAGTAAAAAGTTAGATCTGAAATTTTTTTCAAACAATGAACAACGCTAAACTCGCTGATAGTTACACCAGACCGTGATGATTTACGGATCACTGTGAAAGTTTAAAATCTGGGATACACTTGATGTTGACTCCTTTGAAGGTCTAAGTTTCCTCTTTGTTGATGATGAGGTAATTAGAACTTAATGTTTTATAGTATAGATTGTTTTATGATACATGATATACTAACTAAATTATCTTGCTCAATCTTTCCTACAAATTTAACAGGGCACGAAGATGCATGCTTTCGTGGACAGAGAAGATCAGAAACGGAGATTCAGGGGACTACTTCATGAAGAAGATTGGAGGAGCATAACTGGTTTCAAAGTCCAGTTAGTTAATACAGAGATTCGATTGACCAAACAGAGGAAAGAAATTGTTCTCACGCGTGATACCCAAGTTTCTAACTCTGAGTGCTTTAATGGTTTCATTCCTCTGGATCTTATTCCATTTGGAGATGTTTATCGTTCAGCTGTTCAAGACGGAACATCTTTCCTTAGAGGTAATTTGCTGAATTATTTGTAGTTTCTGTTTATATAACCGGAAAATGTTTTTTTTAGAGGCAATACTTTGTGTAGTGATATCTAATGTGGCATTACAGATTTTATAGGTCAAATAACTATTGTGAGGGAGTTGGACACTATGATAGATCCTTTCCTTCCTAGGAATATGTGGAACATGCATAACAAATATATTAGCAAGATTGACTTTATGCTTCTGGACAACAAGTAAGTATATCATTTCTATAAACCTATTGTCTTTAATAGTATAGATTGCTTGGAAGTGAGTAATACGAAACTGAAATACCTGTTTTTCATGTTTTAAGTGGCAATGGGCTTAACTTTCGTGCGAAAGGAGAGTTAGCAGATAAGTTCAAACGTTTCTGGCTTTGTTATGGTTACACTGGAACAAATATCATCCTCTTAACTGATTGGCGAGTAGTTGGATCAGATGGTAATCTGTTTGAGATTTGTTTTCAACTTTTTATTAGCATGTCTTTCTAAGATGTTCCAGATTTAAATTACAACTTTCCTAATGTTTATTTGATATACATGTAGGTGGTATAAACGTTGAAAGTGTGCAGGGTATCTCTACTTTTGATTTTCATCCAACCGGTCACTTAGAGGTGGAACACTTCGAAAATATATTGTAAGTTTTAGTAGTATGTATTATTTCTAAGTTTACCAAATTCTAACCTACATAATATTAGCTAACAATAATATTATGTGTACATTATACAGCCTTCATCCCACATCCGATGATAGTGACGTTGAACTCATGGATGGTTGAAGATTGTACTGAAAGTTTGGAAATCACGTAAGTGACCAGAAGATGTTTGCCATTCTAAGATTACCTACTTCTCTCTATATCTATTTGTAATTAACTATGACCAGCACTGTTTCTCTTATTTCTGGATGATTTCAAGTTTGAATCTTATGTTTTATAATTATGTTAGATATGTCGAACATATGAAATCATGCGATAATCTAAAAGTAAAAATCTATGCATTGTGAGAGATAGTTACCTGAATTGATTCGGGGATGTGAACTGAACTGATATGTTCCGACGTCATAATTAAACTTGACATTTCTCCAAATCACAAGTACTATACACACAAAAGTAGTTTATTAGCATAGTCAACCATTGATTAGCATAAAACATAAATAAATGACTCAGGCTAATTTTGTGTCACTTTTTTATGACACATGTTTGTGTTTCTTAAATTCTAAATACGCATCTTTGTGTACCTACTCTATCATTTAGCAAGATAGAGATCTACAAATTAAAACACGCATCATATCTTAACAAAATATATACTATTTCCTTAATTCACTCTAAGTAGATTTCGAATAAACAAATTGGAGGTAAACTTATACTTACCTTTACTTTTTGAAATTTTTGATATACTTACTCAGATTCATGCTTCATAATTTGAAATTTGGTACGAGGGAAATCGATTTTTTCACTTTCCCGCCCTGTAATAAAATGGTGAAAAATGACATACAATTAATCAGCTGCAGAGATTTTAGTACTACACAGAATTAAGAGTTTAATATCTCTAAGAACACTATATATTCAGACCGAAGCCAGGTTGTGATCAGAGTAACATAGATACCTATAAAGGAGAGCATCATGAAGAAGAAAACAGAGGAAGTTGTCATCGATGGATGTCCCAGAAAACCTCCTAGATCCAGAAAGAGGAAAAGCTCATATGACAATAACGACACCTGCAATGGAAAATATGTAAAGGTAAATAATAAAAAATCACTTAGATTCAAACTCATTTATAACAAGTTACATAATGGATGAACTTTTTATGAACTAATAGTCATTATCAGGGGATGAGCGTTGATAATCACATAGTAGATGGTGCAGAGGATCCTAAAACAACCACAACCAGAAAAACGAGAAAACAAGAGCATCAACTCAAACCATCAAAAAACCTTCCAACACGAAAACTCAAGCATGTGTACCAGTAAGAACAATTTTTAGCAGAATCTTTGATGGTGTTAACAACATAAATACAAGCTCTGTAAGGGCTACGAGTTTGAAACGCGTCGATATTAATGGTTCCCCATTGTTTACAAAACCGACTTTCCAAGGTACTAAGTATTTCTCTCATGGCTTATAATTTAACTCATTGGCTTTACCGTTATAACTTACGTAGTTTCAACTGTGGAGTAATAGCTGATTGATTCATTTCGTCTGAAACAGTGCCTGATAGAACACCAGTAAGTGCTGTCACACTGAACAGTCAGAAGCGAACCACACGTGGTCGGAAGTTGATGCGAGATCTTTCCATCTGCAAACAATTGAGACGGAAACAAAGTACCATCTTCTAAACGCAAACCTAGAGGAAAAATAAAACATACTGATGAGACTACTATTGAAGATAGACCACATAATTTCCCAGATTTGTTGGTATCTTCGGAAGGCAAGTTCTTTCTGGTTTGAGTATTGTTTTCAATAGTTTCATGGTGAATTCAAAAATTATCTAAACTATGACATTTTGTTATTTTGTAGATGATGATGGAGATTATGACCATATATTTCAGTGTAGTAGCCCAGAAACCACGGAAGATGAGTTATCAAATGATGAATCAAGTTGTTCTAAAGACAAACCTTGCAGGATGTGATCAGCCTCAACCGGAATTCGCAGAGGTTAGATCCAAGAATCCACGAAAGCCGTGTGTCCAAGCTGAAACTAAGAAACAACCAAACTCGACAAAAGGAACCAGAGCGAGGAGGAAAGTGAAAACAAAGGAACCATTAAAACTTGGTAATTAATAGTCTTGCATAATCTTGGTAGTTTCTAATTTTCTAGAAAAGTTACACTAAGTTTCTGGTGATTTTGGATTGTCCCGTACAGAATATAATGATGAGGGTGATATGACATATCGTTGCACTCACTGTGATGCTAAGTTTTGGTATGGTGAACGTATCAACAAGAAGAAGAGGTCACGCAATCCAGTCTTCACGCTTTGCTGTATGCAGGGACAAGTAACGTTGCCGTTGCTAAAGGATCCTCCTCCTGAAATTAAAAATTTGATTTATGGAGATGATGAATTAAGCCGACATTATCAGAAGCACATCAGGCCTTACAGCATGCTTTTTTTTTACTTCAATGGGTGGAAGAGTTGATCATTCTGTAAAAAAAGGGAGGGGTCCACAAATGTTTCAGTTGCACGGAGAGAATTACCATTTAATGGGCAGCATGATTCCACAACCTGGAGATTATGCAAAATTCTATCAGATGTATATTGTTGACATGGAGAATGAGATCGAAAATAGGCTCACTTTCCTCAGGTAATTTATATTACATAGTTTATAATTTAATAGTATAGATTCTTGAATCACAAACAGTTTATGTTATCATTAGTACTAACCTGTTTATCCTCCTTATCCAGCAAGGCTAAAAATGCACAAGAATCAACTAAGAAGAACCGACTACGGAAGGAAATCATTGAATTGTTCGTCAAGGTCTTAGATGAGCACAACCCGTACGTGAAGACATTTCGGTCTGCAAGAGAGAGATTCAACACTGACCCTGAGCACAGTTTTCACATGAGGATTATAAGTGATCGTGTTACTGATGGAAGAACTTACAACACTCCTACGGCTTCTGAGGTTGCTGCAATCATTCCCGGAGATTTCAATTTTGACATGGGGAAGAACCGTGATATAATCCTACAAAAACAATCCGGAAAGCTGAGGCGTATTAGCGAGATTCATCCGTCGTATATCCCACTACAATATCCTACGTGTTTCGTTTATGGAGAAGATGGTTTCAGGCTTGGAATTAAGAAAGCAGATTCAGTTTACGGGAAAAAAAATAAGAAGGAAAACATCTCTGTTAGACAGTTTTTTGCTTTCCGTCTATTTGAAAGAACAAAAGAGTCTAACCATCTCTTACACTCGAGGAGGCTGTTTCAGCAGTACTTGGTCGATACCTACACCATGATTGAGACTAACAGGCTTACCTATCTGCGGATGAACCAGACAAGCTTGAGATCAGACAGTTATGACTCAATCAAACAAGCTGAAGACGCAGGTGTCATTGAAATGGAGGAACAAGGTAATAAGTTTTACTTGCATGCGTCTTTCACTGGAGGACCAAGGTATATGAGGGAGTTATATTTCGATGCGATGGCGATATGCAGACATTATGGTTTCCCGGATTTGTTCATCACATTTACATGCAATCCTAAATGGCCAGAACTAACCCGAGAGCTTGATGGTACAAATCTGAAACCTACGGATAGAGCTGAACTCATCTGCAGGCTGTATCATATAAAACTAGCGTCACTCATGGAAGACTTGACGGATAATGGACTCCTAGGCCAAACAGTTGCGTGTAAGTTTTTACCAATCCATCATATTATAAGTAGTAAACTAACAAGTATGTTTTCATTTGATTTCTGCACAATTATTATTCCTATGATTCACGATCACTTCTTTTAACAATGCAGCAATGTATACAATAGAATTTCAAAAACGAGGACTGCCACATGCTCACATTCTTCTGTTTATGCATCAGAAGTGCAAGTTTCCAACTACGGATGATATCGATAAGATTATATCAGCAGAGATACCAGATAAGGTGGAGGAGCCAGAACTATATGAAGTTGTGAAGGATATGATGATTCACGGTCCTTGCGGTAATGTGAACATAAACTCACCATGTATGGAAAATGGAAAATGTTCAAAGCTATTCCCGAAAGCTCATGCAGAGAGAACCAAGATAAGCAAAGATGGCTT